GGTTTTTTAGGGACAACCAAATAGTAATGTCACAAATGTTGCTACTCACCTACATCTAGTGGATCACAAGCCCCTAAACATGTGAGAGCTTGGGAAAGGTCTCTCTTGGCCTAGTTCACACAGTTCTCTGCAGCTTGGCTCTAAATGCCTTGAGCAAAGGAGAGCAGTGGTCTTTTGGGAATTGTCCTACTTGCTTTCTATTGTTTGCAGCAAACAAGCTTGTGTGATTTTGTGCAGCAGCTTGCCTGGGGCTGTGGACTATGCATTAATTTCAGAATCTGAAGTGATTGGGGGAAAGGGTGTGAGAGCCTCCTCCTGGTTTTTTTGAGCCTGTTTTCCTGTGCAGACTAGATGCTAATAAATACTGGGGGAAGGATCTCAGCTTGAGTCTCAGACAGAGGGACAGGATAGATGACAGATGGTGTCTAACAGTGAAAACAGCCTGCATGATTCATTCTGTGATCAAGACTGGAATCAAAGACCTCTGCTCTTGCCTCTGGTGTTCAGCTTTCCCCAGCTCCCTCTTCAGTAAGCCTGTGTGAAGGGGAGACTGATGGCCCTGTGACTTTATGGCAGTGATCTGTGGCTCTGGTGCCTTAGCTTTGAATTCCTCTGCTGTGGGATGGTGGGCTTGTGCCTTCTGACACCAGGTTAGTTAGAGCTGGGAAGCAGCAGGAGCCCAGAAATCAAGGATAGTCATTTCTTGGAGCAATCCTACTCCACACAGCACCGAGTCCTGACAGGCCTTAAATGGGTGAAGATGGTGGGGATGTTGAAAACCTGCCTGAGTGTTCAATGTGCCTTTTCAGCTTGTTGATCTTTCAGTTTTCCTCTGTCAGGTGCAGAAGGGTGATCAGCTGCAGGTGCCTGTGTTTCCCCTTTGGGCTGCTCTGCCTGTGAACCTGTGAACAAGCTGCCTCTGTGTCTGCTCTCCAGAGCTGTGCTGTTGTTTGTGTAATATTCCCCCTTTCTCCAATTACTTTCTGAAACACCTAAGAATGCCTGAGTTTTTGTTTAACTGAAATGCCTCACTTTTTGAAACCTGAGCTGTTTGGAAGCCTTCTTGCCTGTTTTTGTGTAAGAGTGGAGGAAGAGCAGGGATACAGCTTCCATGTGCAGCTGTGACTGGGGACACCTGCTTCAGGCTTTGTCTCTGCTTCTGGTGGGATCCTGGGATGGAGAACAGAGGCACTACCTGGGATTCAGTACTGGCTTTTCAGTACTTGAAGGGGGCCTATAAGAAAGGTGAGGAAGACTTCTCAGCAGGGCCTGTAGTGATAGGACAAGGGGTGATGGCTTTAAAATAAAAGAGGGGAGATAGATTAGATCTAAGGAAGAAATTATTTACAATAAGGGTGGTGAAACCCTGGCCCAGGTTGCCCAGAGAGGTGGTAGGAGCCCCATCCCTGGAAACATTCAAGGTCAGGCTGGACGGAGCTCTGAGCAACCTGATCTGGTTGAAGATGTCCCTGCTCAGTGCAGGGGGGTTGCACTAGATGGCCTTGAGAGGTCCCTTCCAACCCAAACCATTGTGTGATCCTCACAGAAATGACACTAGGCTCCATCTGACCTAAGGAGCTAGATGGACCCAGGGCAGGACAACAAACCAAGTTCTCCTTGTCTCCCTCAGCAGTCAGAGCAGCAGTGTGGGGAGGGGTGAGGTTGGGCACACAGAAGTTCAGTAACTGGAAAAGGTTTGTGGCAGCAGGCAAAGTCGATCTCATTAATGAGTCGTTCTCAGGTCAAGTTGCCTTGATTTGAAGGGAGGGAAAAGGGGAAGAGAAGTCATTAAAAGAGAGCTAGACATCATGAGAAGAAAGATCATGCAGCTCCCATCTGTCTGGCCTGACATAGCTGATCACGGTGAGCTGAGCTGTAGTTTTTCTAGCAAGAAGAGTTGCTGATGTAGAGAAGCTTCTTCCTCTTGCTGGTTGCCTCTGGGTTTGCCATGGTCATTTGCAATGCTTAACAGTAGAAAGAAAGGGAAAAACCATTTCCACTGATCTGAAATAGGCTGTAGCACCACAGACAAAAAGGTAACACATGGGATGGGAGCATCCTAATGCTCAGGCTGATGTAACTCTGTCCCACCCCTCAAGGAGTCTAATGACACTTCTCTCCAACCTCTAGTGATCTAGGTTTGTCCTCAGCAATAGCAGTTGTCCTCATGGACAGGCTGGCTGAGAAAAACTTCAGAAGGAGATGGGAGGAAGAAGGTGAAGGAGTCTGCTGGGTGGTAGCTTGCAAATCTCATCAAGCTGACAGGTGTTGTAAATATTTCTGGATAAGGAATAGGGGTGAAGGGATGATTTAATACACCTAAGCTTTGTGATGAGGCTGTTAATGAGCAGTTCAGGTAGTTGTAGTACTTCTGTTTTAATATAGAAGCAGCAGCTGTAGGAGTCTGGGGAGAGGCAGATCAATGCCTTGTGGAAAAGGGACATTTCCACCAGCTGTAGGTCAGAAAACCCACTGTGTGCAGGAGCAGAGTGACTCAAACCTTCCCTGAGCAGTGGAGGTGAACTGCAGTGACTGGGATGCTGGACCAGAGTCTTGCTGGCAGTTCAAGGTTAGAAATGTGTTACCTGTGAGTACTTCAGGCAGTGTTGTCCTTCAGCTTGCACTTATCTCTCATCTCAGTCTCATCTGGGGCAGGCAGCAGTTGTTCAGCCTGTGTCTTACCAGGATAACCATACCCAGTTCTGGTTCCTTATTGTTCATCAGGTTTGTAGCCCTTCTGTGGGCAAGGACATGCTGGGAAGTACTAGTACAGACTGAGGCTGTAGATATCACCTTATCTGTACTGGTTACTTTTTGCATTTAGCTTTTTGGAGTGACCAAAGCTGCAGATAACATTCCTGAAGAGATATATTTTGTGCTTTGTACAATTGTTTTGCTATTCTCCTGTCTCTCCTGGAAGGATTTTCCTGATGCATGATTGTTCCTGTTCTCTGACTCTGGACCACTGGAGCCTGTAGAGTTTTCTGTTTGTTTTTGTGGCCACCAAGCATCCTGTTTTTCTGTGGTAGATTTCCAGTTGTACTCTGTAATTACAACACTTACTTGCTCAGGACTTCACAACTTTGGTTTCTTACAAGTTAAATTTATTTCCCTTTCTATTCTGGTCTTAAAGGGATGCGTGACTGCTTGGTCTGATATCTGAACTTCTCTGTGCATCAAGTGTTTCCCATCAACACTGTAATAATGTGTATTATTTATATATATATAATAATAATAATAATAAATGTAATAATAAAAATCAACACAAGCATAATACTGTGCTTAATAAGCAAAGGAATTTATTCCAAGCTTCAACTTCTGAGGAGACTGAGTAGCAGCCTCCCATCAGCTTGAGAAGAAACTAATTGGTGGAAGAAATGGGGACCTGGAATTAACTCATTTTCTCTAGAGTAACTTCCCTTTTACCTAGTAGCAGCCTATGCAGTGTTGAAAACTAGGGTGGATTTGTAGTGTTTACTTCTGCCTGGAAAAAAAGTTCTCTTAGCAAGAAATGCCATGTGGGATTTTATCTTGGTAAACCCATTCTGCATTTCATCCTGTTGATCATATTTAATGCCTCTTCTCACAAGCATAGACAAGACTGCAGAGTAAGGTCAGAGTGATTTCAAGGTCAGTCTGGGGGATTTGTCACTACTTGGTTGCTTTTTTCCTTTAAGCATTGTTTTATTTGCCCATTAAATTCTCATTTTCCAGTGATTTTAATACTGGTTCTATCTGTTTCTTGCTGCAACTTAAAAAAATATCTGTATTGTGGGAGTGTGACAGCCTGAGCACCTATTACTGTTTCCTTCAGATCTTTTGGAAAAGGGCTAACCAGAAGTTAGTGCCCATTCCACTCTTTTTGCAGTGCTTGGAATCTTTATCTGCACTTTTTGTCTTTGTTCTCACCTCATTCCCTGGAGCTAGAGCAAAACAAAATGTTTTTACACCCATAACAATGATGAGCCTCCACTATGGAGGAGGTGGATCCACAGCAGGACTAACACAGGTGATAAGGAGAGGGGTTATGTACCCTAAACCCCAAAGAAAAAGCTACAAGGAATTGACTAATCTCTCTCCTGCCCTTTTTTTTTTCCCTTGCCAGCTGAAAGAAGAGTTGTCCCGCATAGTTGGAAATCTGATTGAAAATTACAGCTCTCCAAATGATGATGAGAAGAACTTAGAAGATGCTTGGGACTATGTGCAAAAACAGGTGAGTCATGAGGAGCAGCAAGAGGCAGGTGATGCTGTTTGTCAGTGCAATAAATCACAGACTGGTTTGGGTTGGAAGAGACCTTAAAGCTCATCCAGTTCCAACCCTCCTGCCATCAACAGGGACACCTTCCACTAGACCAGGTTGCTCAAATGGCCTTTAAAATGAGGCTGAGGACAGGGAAACAGGTACTGCGAGAGGCAATACCAGGGCACATTGATCTGACTGGTGTACAAAGTTGCCTGTGAGGTTTGGTGCCTGCATGCTAGAAAACTGTCTTGCTTGCTATTGCTAGGTAAGGCCCTGAACCATTCCAGCATGCTGGCTGTTAGGACTAGCTAGTATTGACTGCTTAACCTGATGTATCTGGCCTATCAAATGGCACCCCAACACTTCTCTTTGTCTGCAGGGCCTCCAGAATACTAGCCTGTGTGAAAGCCACAGGGTATATTGTTTTTATAGCAAGTAAAGTCCCTATCTTATTGCCAGGCAAGTCAGCAGCACTGCCTGCTTTACTACTTGGTGCATGTTGCTTGCTTGTTGTGATGGCTTTTCTTGCAAGTGTGAGCATTCTTGGGAGCCATCCAACTGCCCATGGTTTCTGTTCTAGCATCAGGGTCAGCGCTTGAGCAACTAGGTCAGTGTTGAGGCACACTGGAGTCATGAGAGCTGTTAGTGCCAAACCACAAGGCTTGAGAGCTGGCTGGCTGTTGTGGTTAAATACATGCTCAGCATGGTAAGTACAAGCAATAGTGGGGTTTTTTTTCTGTCTGTTCTTCAGTCTGCAAAACACTGACCTGAAGTATTTCCCCTCCTTGGAGGGAGAATGATTTATTTGTTTTATCACTGTAGTTGCACCTTCTTGGTAATGGACTCGAGAAGGCTGAGTCTACTGTGGTGACAGGATCCTGCCTGAGCCCTTCTTTTATGACCAGAAGGTGATTTTGTAGAACTGAAATAGTCAGGTGTTGAGTGTTGAACTGGCATTTGAAAGGGGATGGGTGTTCTGTAGACCAGTCTTGGAGTTAAAGTCCAAACCTCTCTTGAGGCAGAGGTAGTTCCTTCTGGAGGCTGGATCTTCAACACTTGTTTGGACACCAAATGCTTGTCCTGGTGTAGATGTTCGGCTGTTTGTACCTCCACTCTCATGTCTGTTCCATCAGACTGAAACATTACTTTTCCTTTCTGAGCAGAGGGAGAATTTTCCCTAAACTTCCATCTCAACTTTAATAGCCTTTCTGCTCTGTACCACGGTGCAAGCACTGGGATCCACGCTTAAGAAATCTTGGTCTTTCCTGGACTTCCCGATGTGCTTTCCCCTCCAGCAACTGCAGTTTTATCACGTGGCTGTATAGGAATGTAAATGTTTCTTTGGATGGAAAATTTTCCTCATCCCATCTCCCAGCCAGTCCCAACTGCAGCCAGGCGGGTGCGAACTCGTCGTGACTCGCTGGGGCTTGGTGGCATTTCAACGCCATCGTGCGGTGGCTGCTGGTGTCCCCCGGGGGTCACCGCTAAGATCAGCGGTACCTTGCAATTGAAAAGGTCCTGATTCAGTAAAACACAGTTTTTGAGCAGACATAAAAGGGAAAAATAAAGCCTTTGCATTTAAACCTATAGAAATGGCATCGCTAGTGAACAACGAGGTAGTAATCCTTTTGAGATGTGTTTGAATAGCCATGATGTCTTGTCAACGCATTAATCTCTTGCTTGCCTTGCTTCTCCCTCACCAAATCAATCAGATGATGAACTGGAGGGACTGAAAAAAAAAATGTCCTTTCAAACATGTCACACAGATCAACTGCCCTCCTCCAGCTGACCCACCAGCAGCATCTGTTTTGCACTTTTACTTCTCTTTAGCATCGTTACCTGGAGATAAGATGAGGCTTGCTAGGATTCAGTCTGCAAAAACTAATGAAAATTACACTCTAAAATTGATGTCAAGCTGCATGGTCTACTGAAATTGGAGTATCTACGCCTCATGCAGTAAGGTTTGTCCTTACTATGACTAGTGTGCTAGGACTTTGTGCATATTATAGTCCACTATGCTCAAAGTCTGCTAGAAGTGGCCCTGTAACTATTGTCTTGCTAGCAGAGTGATTCTGTGGTAGGAAATAATGCCCCTGTCTTCTGGATGGCCCTGTGCATAGGTTATCTGGTAACCAGGGTGATGTTCTAGTGTAACTAATACATGCAAACTCTGTCCTGACTGTTGTTGTTACATGGAGAGCTCCTGTGTACTTCTACCTCCACTGCCTGTTTGTTTTCACGTGCAGTATCTTACCAGTGCAAAGTGTAAGACTGTGATGATCTCTCTCTGCTTATTTAGATCGCTTGCTGTGGCTGGATTGGAGCAAAAGACTGGGAAAAAAATGAGTTTATTATCAACCAAAGCATGACTGTGTATCCCTGCTCCTGCTCCAATAGCTCTAAGGACTTTGAGGCAGATAGTGGTTTCTGTAACCTGGATGTCCCTCTCAACAGCACTGCAACGTATGCTGACTGGCCTGTTCATGAGCAGGTGAGTGGGTATGTCTGGGCCCTGTAAAGCTTCCACTGAAGTCACCTTGTCTTTGTTCTTCTTGGAATTATATAGAGCACTTCTTTCATGTCAGTATTGCTTGAAGTACCTGTGGAAATTGGGGTGAGGTGGGGCAGGGATCCTTCCCTTTTCTCCTAAAGCTACTGTGAAACTTGGTACAACATGTGATTGGGGTAATCTCTGCATTGCACAAAGAGATGTATTATGGATTTACAGTCTTGAGACACTTAGATTCACACTTCTTTCCCTTGTGACCATGTTTTCTTCATAGGGGTGCATGGATGGTGTAGAGAAGTGGTTGAAGGACAACCTTGGTGTCATTCTTGGGGTCTGCACTGGTGTTGCTGTTATAGAGGTAAGTCACTCCCTAGTGTGGATGTATACTGTCTTACCATGCAGACTCTTTTCAAGCAAAGCTATTTTATTTCAAGTAACAGACACCTGGTTTAATGGCAGTGCAGTTCTAGCTCTTGGCTATGTCTACCTGGAGCTTTGAACTACTGCTTTCATTGACTGGATTAAAAATTGAACAAAGACCTGTCAACTTGTGGCTCCTGCTGCTGTGTCTGACACTTGGCAATTCACTGCATGTGTAACCAGGAAGAATGAGACAAGCAACATCCCACTAGTGAGATCCCACTGGTTGCTTTAAACTCAACAGATTCTAGATCAAGGCACAGTTTTTTGCAGAAAAATATTTTTGTCATCCTGTTTATTGCATTTTCCTTGCATTGGGGACCACCAGTGTGGTGTCATATAAAGCAGATGGCTCTGTTCTGCTCCCCTGTACCACCCTTTCTTCCCACCTTATGATCTATCTGGTTGCTAATTTTGTTCCCATTCTTCATTACTTATTCCAGCTGCTGGGGATGATACTGTCCATCTCGCTCTGCAAGAACATACACAGTGAAGACTACACCAAAGTGCCCAAGTCTTGAGTTGGCTGATTCCAGAGCTACAGCACCACAGAGAAAGGAGCAAACGGAACATTCCTGCCTCATACCCAGACTGTCCAACCATTGACCATTATTCCTGTGACATCCCATTTCTGATACCACTCTGCTAAGAACTGTTAGAGCTGCAGTACAGCCTGATCTTCTGGCAGTAGGGCCCTTGGACCACCTGCATCCTGCTTCTGGATTATTTCTACTTCAAGAAGCAGAACTTAATTGTTTTTGTTATCACATAAGACACCGGTTAACCTGAGGGGACAATGCTTTTGCTGCCTGCTCCATGTTAAACAATCCTCTTCATATCTCCATGCTACAACCCACTGGGCCTAACCTACAGTAACTTCTCTCCCCCCTCATTCTTCTCCCACACATCTTTCCACCTACCCCCAGAAGTCCTATCTTGTTGCCCCATGAGCCAGGATTGCTGTTGAGATTCCAATGCTACGGTAGCTTCACCTACTTCACTGACTTGTGGTGGTAGCTAGTTGTGCTTTATAGGCCTTCTCCTTTCTTGCAGTTAACCTGATTCATCTCCTACTGTGCATCTTCCAGCCTAGGCTCTCATCTGAAATATTGAGCACTACCCACCTACTCGCTTCTCCTGCTTCTGGAGTCAGCAATGCCTTGCCTTCAGCGGAGCTCTTCCCTTCAAGCATGATGAGAAGCCACCAGGAGGGATCCAAGCCTACCTACTCCTAGTGTGGCCTGGCAGATTGTGGTGGTGGTGGTGCTCAGCTGCTTCTGGAATAGGTCTCTTGGGTTCTGGATTTGACACTTCAATGTTTCTCCCACTTGCCTCTTTACCTTTTCCTCTCCTTCTAGCACTGCTCTGATGGCTCCTGTCAGCTTGGAGGCACTTCAGAGACAGCTGCATGATGTGGACTCAGCCCCAGGCTGGCTCCACTGGTTGCATTCTTGGGTTGCCAACTTCTACAGAGGTTATGATTAACTTGATTCTTCCTCTACCCCCTTTATGAACATAAAAGTTGTTAGCTGTGGTTTTTAGTTATGAATATGGAGGGATCTGACTGGATTGCTGATGCTGTATATTGGAGATATCACTGCTCCCAGTGCCTGGTTTAGATTCTGTAGTTTGGATGCAAAGATAAATTGCTTTTATTTTAGTTGTCCAGTCTTCTGACTCCACTGTGGTCTGGAGCCATGGCTGCGTCCTGAGCTCTGTCTTGAGTGCAAGCACTGCAGCAGATAAGTAGCTGATTCTGCAGTGATGCAAGGCTGGGTGGTGTCTGTACTCAATGGCTGGGGTGTTCACTCTTTTCAGCCAG